TTCACAAGCTGAAGGTGAAAGCCTCAACTGAGCCGCACTCTGCCTCAACAATCTGCCCAACACCATCCCAAAGTGGGCATTCTCCAGGTTGAAGTAATGCATTCCTGTGGAGTTTCAAATGAGGATGAGCTGTAGCTCCCACCTATTCGCACTCTGCCCACTTCCTGAACTGACAGGCTCTCATGCCTCAAATCACAGTGTGTCAGCTCCGGTGACCAACCACAAATTACACCTTTTGAAACGCCAAGAAAATAATGACTAACGTCGGGAAAGGTTGCAACAGGTGTGAAATCTTTCTCCGGCAGCCTTGTAATTAGGGAACGAAATCGATGAAAGCAAAGGACACTAACCATCGGGTGAAAGAAAAAAAAACAGCCTTTCTTTCTGGCTTTGTACCTTTATAGACTGTGAAAGTGCAGAGCTGAGCTCAGCAAATGCAGAGAGCGTCCGCCTAACACCAAAACAGACTGCTTATTACCACATTCCTGAGCTTTGAGGTGGGAAAAAACAAATGACGTTCGTTTGCCCGTAGTCGGTGCTTGTATTTCCGAGATCTGTCGCCTTAAACGTGTGCATTAAGGTTTGAAACGGTCGGGAAAGGGAAAGAAAGGTTCGACCATCCTATTTTTATTGTTAGCAATGTCCAGATTTTGACCCGGTTAAGGAGTGGGGACGGGCAGACCAGACCGTGCGCTGGAGATGGATGTGCCACCTTATTTTCGGGATAAAACATTAAAACCCGCTAATACTTTGATTTACTGTTTTCAGCAATCGCTAACCATAACGAGGTGCGTGTCCTACAGCGTTAAGAATGGAATGCCTCTGATATTGTACACGTGTGAAAAGGTTATCTTGAGCAACGTGTAACATCAGTTACAAATATCGATTTGCAAAGCGAGGACCTGTGAAGTGGATTCATGGGCCATCTCTTTAGTGGCTTGATCTTTGGGTGCGGAAAGACATTTAAATCTGGGTACCATATTTATTACACACACACACACACATACATTCGGTCATAAACGTTATGAAGTCATTCGTACACGCAGAATAACAACATCGTGAAACAGGACTTGTTATGCATTTGGAGGTTTTGCATCAGTTAACATGGCTGTGCAGCAGATTATCACTGTGGAGGCAACAGAGGAACTGATGTTAACCCATTTTTAAAAAAAAATCTGTTAGAACAAAAATCCTATCAACCCTGCAAACCAAAGCCCTAACGGTTAGTAGACTGGTCCGAGCTGGACAGGCAGTGGGAAGTTTGCCAGGCAATGGCAACTGTCTCTCAATGGCAAGCTTTCTGTTTTAAGTTGGTTCAACTCTGGCATTACTGTAACGGGGCGCTCTGATGTCCCCAAGTCTTGACTTTCATCAACCTGCACTCTCTGGAACATAAGCTGCTCGCCTCCCTCCCTCCCTCCCTCCCTCCTTTCCACGAGGAAATTTCCATGTGTAGATGGCATACATATGTGGAACTTTCAAAGCTTTCTGGAGAATAAATTCCTTTGTGTTCAGAAATAAATAATTCCTAAAGATGGGAGCCTGGCTTGGTTGTTAGCACTCTCCTTTCTGAGTCAGAGGTTTGTGGATTGTAATGATAATAATAATAATAATAATCCTCGCATTTGATATCACGCTTTTCATGTCTTCTCGACGGCTCAAAGCGCTTCACAGAATGTGTTGTAAAGTGAATTGACTGTATATTTGTGGGTGAAACGCGGCAGCCAATTGCGCACAGCAGTGTCCCACAAACAGTCGTGGATTGAAAATGACCAATTTATTACTGTTTTGTTTTTTGGAGGGATTATTTCAAGTTATATACTTCAGTGGAATGTTGGAGGTTGCTTTATCAGAGTTGCTGTCCTTTGGATGAGATGTTTAAACAAGGTAACATCTTCAGGTGGATGTTTTCTTAAAAAAACACTATTTGAAAAGAGAAGGGAGTTTCCCTGCATCCTGGCCATCAATCCTCCAGTTAAATTGTTGTAATTTTGTTGTTCACCCCTGGCTGTTTGGAAGACTGTGTTGTGTGCAAATTGGCTTGCAGTGTTTGCCTATTATTATTATTTTTATTATAAGTACAGTCATTGCACTTTACACGCAAAACTCTTACATGTTTCAATGAGATAAATCACGATATCAAACCCAAGGACTATTATAAAGTGTTGCTGGAAGGTTCTTCGCAATTATGAAAATCATCGGAAGTGATGGAACAATTTCTATCATCCATGTCTCCAATTCCCCATTAGGCCTAATCTCATAATAATAATCCTTGCATTTGATATAGCGCTTTTCACATCTTCTCGATGTCTTAAAGCGCTTCACAGAATAGACTGTAAAGTGAATTGATCGTATATTTGTGGGTGAAACGTGGCAGCCAATTGCGCACAGCAGTGTCCCACAAACAGTCGTGGATTGAAAATGACCAATTTATTATTGTTTTTGTTTTGGAGGGATTATTATTAGGCTCTGTGTGGAGTAAGGAAACTTGCCCAAGGTTTCGCCCTGCCAGGAATTGAACCCAGGTGTATCGCTTGCAAGGCGAGTGCTCTAACCACTGAGCTACAGGACTCCACATGTCTCTGACAGATGCCTCTCCCAATCTTATGCTTTCCCTGTCACTCCACCAATTCGATTCCTTATTCTCTCCATGTCTCGGAGTTAAAACAAAATCTAAGACCCTCTGTATGTTGGCAGTTGCCCCCGGCAATTCATATCATTCATATCTCCAAAATATATTCTGTCTTAGAGCCCATGTCTTCTATAGCTATTTTCCAATGTGTACACTTCTGACAATAACCAGCTACAGGTGTGGTCTTGTAATTCCCTACTTCGTGACTAATACATCTTCTCTATTTATCATTGCTCTCATTGTGAGGCAGAAAGCATTAGTAATCAAGTTCACAGTTTAGTGTTTAGTTCATTCTCTGGATTTGAGCTCAGATTGCACTTAATGAAGCCAATCTTTGTAATAAAGTTACCCCACTAATTGTTAGTTAATATAGTGATATTATACTTCATGATAGTAATCCTTACCTTGCATATCATGCCTCATCACATCTTCAGAAAATATCAAGGATTTACAGCAAAGTGTAGAGATCGTGTTTTTTAGGCTAACATGGCAGTCAATTTGGCACAGCAATTTCCCATGGACAGCTATAAAATAAATAACCAATTTTGACCAATTTTATCTGGGGATTGCTGGTCAAGGTACTGAGAGAATTCTCTGCCAATGCAGTACTCCCCTAACCACAATGTTGGAGTGCCAGTCTAGATTCTTAAGTGGTTGGAATATATTTATTCCAAAATGGAACAGAGCCCTGATAAATTCAACCCATTTCTCCCAAAGACATGAATCATAAAAAGCTTTCAATTAGTTTGAACTGTAAAAAAAAACAATATATGAGTTATATATATATATGTACATCTCGTTATTTCCACTGCAGTGTTAGGAAAGGTTAGTGGAACCAAAATGCAGTATCTGAATTTCAAAATCTATGAAAATCGGTAAAATTCAGAGAATATGGGTTAATTATTAAATTCATTGTTTTAATAAAACGAGGTTTCAAAAGAACTTAAAAGAAAACGGGCTCAAATTGCATGTGGGAATATGCGTTGCCACCTTTCATCACCTCTGTTTTTGTGCTGTTCTGAATCGTTTCCCCACACACTATTGAGGGGTAAAATTCCACACGAGTCCTGACTGACTCTGTTAAAAGTAGCACATCAGAGCATCCAGAATTTGTCAAATACAGTTCTGAATGTTGACCCCGTTTTCTTTTAAGTTCTTTTGAGACCTCGTTTTATTAAAACGATGAATTTAAAATAACTAAGACATATTCTCTGAATTGCTACGTTAACAGATTACACGAAGACGCAGGTGGGATTTCTAACTGTGTGCCTTCCTTTCGTTGACCAACATGTACATTTATTTTAATAGCACAGCAATGGCAGGCGGGTTATTGAAAATAAAACAACATTTCAAAATCAGCTGCACATCACGAAGGTATTAACTCGAATCCAATGCTGTGTTATCGTTTTTCAAACTTTTCTGACTATTATATAAGCAAAGAGATTGTGTGTTGGTGGTGGTGGTGGTGGTGGTGGGGAGGGGGATACAGGGGGTGTAGTTGAATAAACTTTCATGTATTTTGTTGGGTGCTTTGGTTTGAATGTTGGGGAGGAGGGCGTTGGGTGCATTTTACAGACTGTCGTTATCCGTTTGGTTGCGCGATGCGCTTGTGAAGTCTGTAATGTTTGGGTCCCTGTCGCGTTTCATATGTTTTTTGTTTGGGTGGTGTTGGGGGGTGGGGGGGTCTGGGTGTTACCAGGTGTAGTAAAAATCTGCATCTATTTCGGGAATTGTCACCTTGAGGGCGTTCTCGAGGTCTGGCATGCCTTTGAAGGGTTAAATGCCGGGTGCAACTGCATATTTTAAAGAGAGCTGACGCTGATTGAGGTTTTCAGTGCGTTGGGTGAGTGGAAGAAGGGGGAGGGTGGGGGGTGCATTTGATTGGGGGGGGGGGGGTTGGGTGATGGGTGGGGGGGTTGGTGGCGGGGGGGGGGTGGTGGCTCTTTGCCCCCTTTGTAATCTGCTTCGGAAATCGGGTTGCGTTTGGAGTATGTGTTATTTGTGTGTGTGTGTGTGTGTTGGGGGGGGCGGGGGGTGTGGGGTGGGGGTGGTTTGAGGAGGGGTAGTAGCAGTCAGCGATGTGCTGCCATGGCTTCTCTATGCCCTTGAGTCAGTGAGTCGGCTGACCCTGGTGTCCAGTGCATGTGTGTAACGCGCCTCCCTTAGCCGGGGGTGGGGTGGAGGGGGCGGTGGGGGGTGGAGTGGAGAGTGAGAGTGAGTGTATGTGTGTGCGTGTGTGTGTGTGCGCGCACTTGCGGAGACGCCAAAAGGCGATCGGGGCTGCGCTTGCGAAGGATGGGAAGGGGTGGGAGTGGGGTGGGGTGGGAGTGGGGGGGGGTTGGGGGTGGGAAGGGCTATTTAAAAGAGGAGGCAGTGGTTGCGGATCGGGAGTGCGAGCCGCCGTTGGCAGAGAGGCATGTGGGCTTCTGGCACCCGGGAGAACACCGATCAGAAAAGTGTCAGTCACCAGTTCGCCTGTTCCGATTGCACCCAGACATGAGGCTGTTGCTGCTGCCGCCACTGCTGCTGCTGCTGCTGCTGCTGCTCGGGCTCTCCCTGTCCCCATCCCTCCACCGCTGCCAGGTGTCGGCTGATGCCGCTCAGCCCAGGCAAGGAGGGTGCCCGGCGCCCTGCCGGTGCGAAGAGGACGGCGTGCTGCTGCGGGTGGATTGCTCCGATCTGGGGCTCACAGCCATCCCGGACAACGTCAGCCTCTTCACTTCATACCTGTAAGTCACCCCACCACCCCCCCCCCCCCCCCCCCGGGGGTTGTGGGTGGGTGGGGGTGTGGGTGGGTGGGGATGTGTGGGTGGGTGTGGGTGGGTGGGGGTGGGGGGTGGGTGGGTGGGGGGGTGCGTGGGTGGGGGTGTGGGTGGGGATGTGTGGGTGGGGTGGGGGTGTGGGTGGGGGTGGTGGGTGGGGGTGTGGGTGGGTGTGTGGGTGGGGGTGTGGGTGGGGATGTGTGGGTGGGTGTGTGGGTGGGGTGTGGGTGGGTAGGTATGGGTGGGTGGGGGTGGGGATGTGTGGGTGGGTGTGGGTGGGGATGTGGGTGTGGGTGGGTGAGTGGGGGTGTGGGTGGGTGGGTGGGGTGTGGGTGGGTGCTGGGGTGGGGGGGGGGGCAGCCGGTGGGGTCGAGAGCAATGTGTGTTTTGGCAACGTTTCGTGATGAATGGAGCACAGGGAGACAGTGCTGCGGATCACACAGTAACGCTGCGCCGAACGATTTTGTTTGATATGTATATATATATATATATAAAGAAAGAAAGCGGGGCTGGAATTACCGATCGTGTAGTTGGGGATATTTATGATCCTGTAACACGGTGCGAATGGTTCCTGGAAATCTTTTAGATCGTCAGCTTTAAAAGCGCTGTTAAAGAGCTTTATATCAAAGGTCGGAGTATTTTCTCTCTCTCTCCCCCTACACCCCCCCCCCCCCCAGCCCCATCCCCCTCTCTCTCTCTCTCCCTCCCTCTCCTTGTGTCTGTCTGTGCCCCTCGTGTGTGACTTTCTGAGCTAAACCACGACAGTCGGGGCGAGTTTTCTGAAGCATAATTACACCTGTAAACAAATCCCGTGGCACGGGTTCAGGGGGCAGCACTTTGATGTGGTGCCTTTGTAATCCTTATGGCGGAATGATGCACGTGTGTATATATATATTGTACATATATATATTCGCGAGAAACAACCCCATGTACCATTACGGGAAGGTTGTGGTGGGTGAGTCTTGTGTGGTGGCAAAGAGGTACAGGACTCACTGCAACTGCGACGAGACACTCGCAGCACAGACCGTAATGTGCACAATCCTCACAAGCCAAGTGCTGAACGTGATGTGGTGATGATGGTGGGTCCGGCTCCTGCCTTTGCTCCTGTAAGACTCGCTGTGCCTGTAATCCGAGAGTTTGATGGCAATTTTAAATCGCTGGAACTGGCCCTTTGCATAGAAAAAGGTCCATTTATGTCTTTCGAGCTTTTGTTCCAATTCTTTGTGGGGTTTTTTTCTTTACACACACACACACACACACACACACAGCTTATTAAAGCCACAACCTGAAATGCTGTGAGAAAGATGCATTTACACGAAACAGATACAAGATGTAAGCTGTATGGTGGTGTATTTATATTATAAAACAACCCCAGCGTTTAGAGATGTTTGTGCTGTCACATTAAAACCCCTCACAGAGTATGGGAAGGATGAATCTGTATTCAAGCACTTCTTGACCGCTACGTTACAGTTAGAGGAGAGGTAACAGACACGAACACTCTGCCCACTGTCTCAAAAATCACCTTGAAATAGTTACCTTGTTTTTTTTTAAAAAAAACACACTTACATTGAAGCAGCAGTGAGCAAAAATACACTGGTGTAACTTGTCTGAGAGACACGACGTGAAATATGTCAGTAAATGGGGAGAATTTACAGGACTCGCAGATTGTTTCATTTGTCAGATTTCACAAGTACTCACTCGGGAGAGGTCAGTTTCGTGTTTTTCTCGCCAAACAGTGGGAAAAAAACGACTGTGGACCTCTGTAGCCCGAGGGGTGAACCCGAGCAGTTGTTAAGCGGGATCAGCATCCCTCAGCTTTAACGTGGAAAGACCCTGAAAAAAAATTAAACGTTTTGATGTCTTTCCAAGTGAGGGATTGAGAGACAATCTGAAGATTGTGGTGTCGGTGGCTAATGTACAATAGGTAACCCGTGTAAAAATAGTTTTGTAGATTTTAATAAATATGTTTGAAATATATATATATAGATATATATAACACTGGTATCATCTGATGTTATCGAGATCGGTTGTGTGTGTGTGTGTGTGTGTTTGTGTGACATGCGAAATACGACTTCATTTTCTCTTTAAACCCAACGTAATTTAAAGGCAATGTAAAACCTATTCATAAAACACTTTCTACAGTGAAGGATGGTGCGCGGTGCACGTTTTTTTTCCCCACTGCATCCTTTTCGTCGAGGTCTTGGCACGCGAAATAAATCCCTCTTTTTTAAACGCAGTGTACAGATTTCCAGATAAAGTTCCCACAAATCTCCCTTTTCAAAAATAACCTGAACGCAACAGCGATCGGGAAGGAGCACCGGTGAGTGCGCAGAGTTGCACTGATGGGGACAGACGGTTGGGTTGCCCCAGATCTTTACATATCACTTTCACTGAGACACACTGAGAAAGAGATCACCCGAGCAAACAGCGGCTCCAAATAATCATCTTTTACACCTCAATGGAGAAATTCAAACGGCTCTCTTAGAATGTAGCACCAGGACTCCCAATAGAAACCTACATCACTGCTCATGGGCGAACCTGCCTGAAATACAGAAAAAAAAACTCCTTTGATTACTAAATCAAACCAAAGGCAGTCACACTTCATTAAAAAAAAAGACTTGGGGAGGGATTTTAGCTGAAGAACAGAAAACTGCATACATCTCACGAGTGTTTGTTGCGGGCTGGGGTGAAGCAGTGCATCTTTTTGGGGGTGAATTCGGATGACTTAATGTTATATTTATTTGTCATTCCAGTAAACTTTGTTGCCTGTGTTTTATTTTGTGTGGTTGGGGTGGGGGGGGGAGAGACCATGGAGACCACTGGCAGTGTCCAGTACAAGGGAGGTTAAGAGGATGGAGGCATCAGCAGTGATGTTTGCATCTTATAATCACTTGCACCATCCCAGTGAACCGAATAAAAGTCCAGGGATACTTGTAATAAATACAGTGTCCGGGATGAAGTTATTTATAAATGGATAGGGGAGTGCCACTGACAAGAGACAAAAAGCCACCGTTTTTTTTTACAATATTCTGTACCACAAGATTAACATTACCAACATGAATGTCGCTGTCCCCTCTCTCTCTCTCTCTCTGCCAAATGGTACAACTGCAGGAATCTGGGAGGCAATATTCTCCTTGTCAGTGGGGCAAGGCAGGAGTTTGATGGGGGAGAAATTAATTAAGCAAAACTGTTCTTTCCATTTCGGAGTTTTATTGATGGACGCCTGGCTGACTTCAATTGAGAATGAAATACAATGTATTTTTTTCCCCCCCCCGATATCAGACAGTTCGTCTAAAGTACTGCGGTGCTTTGAAGTTCATTCCGAATCAAACAGTGTATTGTTATCCGTGGAACTCACGTAGCGCTTTACATCATCTCGGATTTCTTACACTGGACCAATTTATAGGCTTCAAACCACACGTTTCTACAGTAAAATGGATCAAGTTGTGCTTTGTTTTAAATCAAATAGCTTCGCGAGGATAGGTACACGCTCAGAAGAATAACTTCTGTTCCAACCATAACAAATCAAGGCAAAGCAGATTTAAGTCCCTCTACAGTCTTTTAAAACGCTATCGGTTTGTTACAAAATGCCAAAGGGGTTTTTGTTTCTTGAGACAGAACGATCGATGGATGAATTAACACTGCTGATTAACCACCATCATGCTAAAGCCTTGGCTTGAATTCTGTTGCTCAATACTGTATTTGAAGTCTGATGGCTTCAACGTTTTGCTTTCATCTTTCTTCAAATTCAAATGACCAAAACCGTCAGGAATTCCCACAGGAGAAAGAAAGAAGAAGAAAAAAAAGTGTCCTTGGAATATAATTCAATTCATATGGTGAATTATGTTGGGCATTCTCTGGCGCGTCTGTTTGACGGACAGGCTGACAGAGAAAACATAAGGCTCTCTACTTGGATCAAACAATAAGAGATTGCAAGTTCAGGACGATGACATTATGGTTGGTTATTTGAAACATTGGGGACAATCGGAGTGATGAAGGCAGTCTGGTTCCAGCAGGGAAGGTGTGGGTCACATTGAACAGACTGCCCTGGAAGCCTGGTGAGATTATCCTTCCCAACTTTTAACCTGCTGTGAGACAGCAGAAGCATTCTCCACAGCCTTGTACACACACATCCTTTCAATGTGGCTTCAGTCGGAAACCAGGATCAACATGCCGCTAGCATGTGGAGGCAGAAGAGCTGGCTTTAGCAGGCCTACCATTACCAATCCACTGAATTAAATCTAAACAAATATGTACAAATTAATATTCCCACGTTGATTTTTTTCACTGCTTTTTTGCAGTTTCTCCAATCTTAATTTTTAGCGGGGAGGGGGCTTGATGTTATTGTTTTATACCAACCATAAAATTGATTTTGTTTTGCTAAACCACTCAAAAGTTTAGATGAATCAGACTTGTGCTTATTCTTAAATAGCATTCGACCTTCCACCACCATTCCAGATACTGCAAATTCCCAGCTGTTTCAGGGAAGTAATTTGACTTTGGTAAATTGCAGCCCATTTACCATTCAGTGCACCATGTGCAGATGTTAAAGGACTATGCCCCATTCATACCATAGAAGCAGCAGTGAAAAGAGAGAAGCAAGGTGAGATATCCTTAAGTGTGGGCATCACTATCCTTGTCACACAGACCCATTTACCATGGCGTTGACAATATTGTGCAAAAATGTGACCAGATCCCACATAAAGAGGTGGCAAAATAACACATTTGTGATAACCTGAAACGCTTGTCACCCAACTATGGCAACTGCTAACTAAGATAACTACATCTGAACAGAAACATAATGTGGACAAAAAGTATTCCTGTTATTGACAATTATTTTGTTTTCTATCATGAAGGTGCTGACTCTTACATGGGACTGGGTTTGGTCAACAAAGTTTCTATAAATATACAGTCAATAAAAGTTCAACAACACATTTTGAAACTGAATCCATACTTGCCATCAATAA